ACAGAGATGGAGTGGAAAGACTCCAGTTAGAGGGCAACTGCTGACTTCTGATTTGTAAAGTCTTTTGCTCCATTTTTCTGTTTCTGTTGAGCTTAAGTTTGCTTAACTTAAAGTACTAGAGATCCCCAGCCTACTGGCTTCTCAATAAAACACACACACACACACACACACAATCCAATGACAGAGTGAGGTGGGAGGTGGGACTTAAAGGTCCTGACCATCGTGGGCAAGGAACAACTAACTCTGCAAGGTCAGCTGTGACTGTCATCAAGCCAACACTGCTGCTCAGCTTCACCCTCGCCCAGTTCTGCTTCCTTCCTCTCCCATCCACACACACCGGCTCAGCTAAGGGGATCCCCAGTTACCATCCTGAACTCTGAACTCCACCTCAAAGTCTGCTTCCCAGAGAACCCAACCTCTGACTTCTTCATTTGTAAAATAGGTTTAACAATAATTACACACATGGGCCACAGTAAAGGGTGTGTGGAAAAGCACCGAAGTCACAGGGAGTGCAGAAAGTGTAAGTCAGCTTTGTTATGGGGGTTGGTCAAGGCCAGCCTTTTAGCCAATAGTGGGGACCCTCACCTCTTCACTGGCAGGAATCCAGAGAAGAAAATGTCGAGATGCCCTACCTTGATCGTGGGTAAGAGAAATAATAAAAAGGCATAGGAAAAGAGACAGATGTGTGAACACGGTCCTGTATGGACCCTGGTCTCCAATTTACCTCTCAGACACCTTCCCATAAAGACATTTAAATCAAAGAACTGGTCCTTCTCATTTTCCCTGAAGAAAAATGAGAGCCATGCTGTAATCGTAGAGGGAACAGCCCTGGGGGCAGGCAGACTGATCCAGTATGCTGACCACCATGGACACTGATCATTACTGTGGCCAGATCTAAACAACATCACCACCTTATTCAGAGCCTATGGGAGGATCAGCACCCCAGACATAACAACAGGTGCCCAGAAACTAAGCAGCAAATGAAGACCAGTGGGGACAGAGCAGCCACAGCCTCTGCTTCCCAGGGAGCTCATGTGCAGCCCTGTTCACTCTCTCCAACTAATCCTTGGGCCTCTAGGGAGGTGCTTTGCCCTGAACTTACAGTGTTTTCACTCCTAAAGGAGAAGGTTTGCTCCTTGCGTATGACTCTAGGAGGTGAGGATTGTGCCTTGCGAGGCACTCTGACGTAGAGAGCCCTTCCCTCCCGTGCCCAGGCCCTTGCACAATTTTTAAAGCATCCCTCACAGCCTCTGTGGTATGCAAGACAAACCTGGTGCTCAGACAGGCCCAAGGTCACAGAGCTGGTAAAAAGTAGAGCTGGGATATGAGCCCAAGACTGATTCCAAGGCCTCTATGCTTTCAGCCACTTAGGCTCACATTAATAACCCTGAGAATATGTTTTTTTTTCTTTTTTTTTTTTTTGTTGATGTTTTTCCAAACATGAAATCGTTTCAGAAGTTTCAGAAACAATCAGCATTGAGGACAGCTGCATCCTGTCGTTATGCCTCCCATGTTGGTCCCAGTTCACACGGGACCCCAATCCCTGGCCTAGGAAGCTGTCGCTGCCTGCCCTCTCCTCTCTTCCAGGAGGCTGCACCTAGAACTGGTATCCTTAAGGACCTCAAATACCAACCACCAGACTCATCTGTTAGAGGATGCTAGATGACCCTGCACAACCTGACAGTATTTATTTATTTTGTGCACGGAAGTGAACAATGGCACTGCAAAGTGAAATTCAGTTTGGGTTCAACTGAAATTCAACACGACAGAAAGAAGTCAATTATCCAGCATTAGTTATTTATCCAGGGACAACAGTCATGCCTTTATTTCTCACCAGAGGCGCCTCAGCAGCTTGAAACAGAAGGAAAGGAGAGGTGGCCACTATTGTCTGACTACAATGCAACATCACATTGGACAAATTAACCCCCCTGATATCCTGTAAATACCTATGAACCTGCTCTGTGAACGTGGCCCTTGAACATTACCCCAGATCATACCCGATTATCAGGTCAACAGGGCCAGGGATTGTATTCCCACTATGCTCTGGGTAGGCCTGGCAATGCTGGACTGTGAACACACTAAAGGAAATGCAACCCTCTATCTACCGCACACCCTGGCCTACCAGAACTGTAAGGATAAAGAGAATATAAACACACTTCCCCATGTTGAGGTCTTCATAGTGCCAGAACCCTTGGAGTCATGTTAGTCTGGGGTTTTCCTCTCAAGATATCTGCTGGACAAGGTGAGTTAAAAATCCTACCCTGCCTCCAAAAGAAAATTATTAGATTCCTATATTATTTTCATATAATTTAATTTCCTTTTATTCTTAAACCTTCTGAGAACATTGAAAGTTGAAAGAGAGAGAGAAAAAAATAAATAAATGAATTAGTGGTTCCCAGCAGGCTGACAAGTGCTAGGATGTAATCTTCACCCCAAGTCCTCTACTCAGAGTACCTCCTCCTCCTCTGAAGAGGAGATTAACATTGACTGAGCAGTTCCCATGTGCCAGGCAGGCACTTTATACATATCACTTTATATTCTCATGACAAGTCAATGATGTAAGTATAAATTATTCCCATTTCACAGATTAAGAAACTGAAATCCAGAGTTAATAAGTAACAGAAACAAGAATCAAGTTGAGGAAATTTGGACTCCTAACCACTGCCCTAAACTGCTTCTCTACCCCAGCACAGTTTCTGATCTAACCAGCCCAGGACCCTGTTGCCACAGCTGTTGCTGCTGCCCATCCAACTGTCTGGGCAGGGCAGCGCAGGGCAAGCTGACTTAGACTCCACTCTACCCAAAACAGTTCCACTTTTCCCTGGTTTAAAATATGAGGCTGTTGGGAGTGTCTGTCTGTGATCTCTTACTGTCTCAGAGAGATCGATCACCCACTAACAATAAGGGACTAGGGAAGGGGTTTCTGGAAGAATTCCCTAAGACCACCTGCACAAATGCCCTGACATGCAGCAGGCACTCACTAAACAATAGCTCCCCTATGTTGCTCTCAGTGTGTGATGGACACTTTGCATATATAAAGCCATTTAACCTCACATCAACCCTATGAAGTAGGTACTATCATTATCCCTGTCTTGTATATGAGGAACCAAGGTGCAGATGGGGTTCAAGAACTTGCATAGGTCACACAGTTAGGAGGAAATAGAACCTAGCTTTGAAACCATGTGTTTAAAACTGATCACACTGGCTCATCTCATGATATGCCATCAGCCACCATGTAGAGGCAGAGTCTATCTCTGAGAATGTACGCATATCCTGACAGGTTTGTATCTCACCATCTTTGAGTTTTTCCTTATAGACATTGCATACGAAGATAATGGTCCCCATGGGATCCTTTACTCTCAACTTCTGACTGTACAGGAAATTCTTAATTATATTTCTAGTATTCTGAGTCCTAGAGAACATGCAAGAAGTACATGTCACATTCATAAACCTTTTTTTAGTAATGGCTTTGGGGAAGCAGACTCATACCTTCATGGAACCCTATTCCAGCAGACTTAGCAAATAATCAATTTTGGAGTAGATTGCATCCCTGGTAATTCAGTGGGGGGGCGGGGGGTTAGTTATAGACAGAGTAAAGGTAAGATTTTAGTAATATATGAAATCACTACAAAATAAAACAAAACAGTTCCTAAACACCATCAATCAACAAATATATGAAAAAATGTTCAACACCCCTAGCAATTAGAGAAATGCAAATCAAAACTACTCTAAGATTTCATCTCACCCCAGTCAGAATGGGAATTATCAAGAATACAAACAATAGTAAATGTTGGCAAGGATGTGAGGGGAAAAATACCCTTATACATTGCTAGTTGCAAATTGGTGCAACCATTATGGAAAGCAGTATAGAGATTCCTCAGAAAACTTCAAATGGAACCACCATTTGACCCAGCTATCTCACTCCTTGGTTTATACCCAAAGGATATAAAATCAGAATATTACAGTGATGCAGCCACATCAATGTTTATAGAAGCTTAACTCACAATTACTAAACTATGGAACTAAATTAGCTGCCCTTCAATAGATAAATGGATAGAGAAAATTATATATATGTGGATTTTATATATATAAAATGGGATATTACTCAGTCTTAAAGAAGAATGAAATTATGGCATTTGCCAGTAGATGGATAAAGCTGGAGAATATCATGCTAAATGAAATAAGCCATCTCAAAAAACAAAGCCTGAATGTTTTCTCTGATATGCAGATTATAATTCACAATGGAGCGGGAGCTAGGGAAGAATAGAGTTACTTTAGATTAGGGAGAAAGGAGTTAAGGGGGGAGGGGGCATAGAGGTAGGAAGGATAGAAAATGAATCAGACATTATTACCCTATGTACATATATATACGGCCACTGGGATTCCACATCATGTACCACCAGAAGAACGAGAAATTATACTCCATCTATGTATGATGTATCAAAGTGAATTCTACTGTCATGTTTAACTCATTAGAATAAAAAATAAATAAAACAAAACAATGATTTAAAAGTCTTACAAAGGCTATTTGGATCCTGTTGTCTCAAAACAACTCTCATCAAAATGTCTTAGAAAAACCCCAAAAGAGGCTAAGTGAAGCCCTGAGCACTCAGGTTACAAAGCTCCTCCGCAGACCAAACCAAATTAGAGTGATCATCTGGGTTTGTCCCTGACTGAGGAGTCTCCAGAACACAGGGCCTTCATTACAAAATCCACCACTGGTTCTGACTCATGCTTCAGGGATCAATTGGGTCAAATATGCACCAGCTTCTCCACATGGACCTTTCAGATGTGTGCAGGCACCTCTGGTGGCCCCACAGGTCTCTTTCTTCAGACTAAATGTGCCTAAACCCTTCTCCTCTCATGTGGGCTCCACTCTCTGCTCACCGCACGCCTTCGCTCCCTCTACCCATACTGCCCAACAGGGCCACAAGTACTTCCCAAGGACAAGCTCTATGCTCAATCCTCTCCCGGCCCTCAAAACTAGCTGTAGGACTTACCGCTGCCCAGGAAGAGGAATGGAGTCCAGGTGGCGGCCCCCAGGCAGTGCCATCATGTTGATCCCAATCTGCAGCAAAGCCTGCCCACAGCGGTCGGGGCCCTGGAAAGACAGGGCAGGATGAGTCAATGAGGGTCCCAAAGAAAATGAAGCAATCACTTTCTCTTGGATCTGGTCAAAAGGAGCCAAGGCAGATGTGGAAGAAAGGTCTTCCAGTCCTCCTCTTTTTTTTTTTTTTTTTTTTAAATTTCAGTACTAGGGATGGAACCCAGGGTCTCATACATGCCAGGCAAGCATTCTACCACTGAGCTCTGTCCCCAGCCTCCTTTTTATCTTATTTTGAGACAGTGTCCCACTAAGTTGTCACAGGCTGGCCCTAAACTTGTGATCCTCCTGCCTCAGCCTCCTGACAGCAAGGATTACAGGCATGCACCACCATGCTCAGTGCCTCCTCATTTTTAAATCAAATTACACAATGCCTTCCTCACACAAATAAGGCAAGACTCATGATCTCAGTTACATTGCCTAACATTAACCTGAACCATTTTTATATGTACCAAATATTGGGACAAGCAGGTCAACAAATATTGCAGAGGACATACTGTACTAAAAATGTAGCCACAGTTTGTCTGATTCACATTTCATGGGCATCCTATGTTATTTGCTAGCTCTGGCAACTCTACATGCTAATTCCTTAACTATATACCATCTAGCACCGGGTTATTGGCTATGACTGTACTTAAGATATATAAGAAAACATGAGTCTGTAATTGGCATTGTGGTCACTGTCCCAAACCCACGACAATGTGATTTTATCTGAATTGCCAGTGATTGATCCGGAAGAAGCATAAGACTCAGCCGCCAAATGATCCTTCCTAGGAAAGGTTTTCTTTCCCCTACCAGAGAGGTACCAGGTGAGATGGTATCTCCTACTAGAGCTGAGCAAGGATGCAAATTCACTTCATTACTGCTAGAGACAATTTTGTAATCACGAGAGGAACAGCTAGAAAACAGACTGGACATACAGAGGAAAAAAAGGTCTGAGCTCTAGTAATTAATTAATTACTTAATTAATTAATAGAATAAATCTTTTTAAAACAACTTCTGGAGCCACTGAATCAACTAATCCTGCAGTCTGGCCCATCTTCAGGCTTCCTATTATTTAAGACATAAAAATTCTTGTTTAAAGTCAGTCTGAGAGAGGGGTTTTGTCCTGCACAGCCAGAAGCATCCTAACAAACAGAAGTGAACTGGATTCTAGAGACTTCCAATGCCAGCTCTGAGGACGAAGCTGCTCACCTGAGCCTCACAGGTTGCATCAAAATAACAGCATCCCCCTTCCTCATAAGACTAACTGGTCAGTTTCCATTTGCCTCACCTTGTCCCTTCTCTGCTCCTGGAGGGCCTTTCTCTATACTCCCTCTCCTGTCACCTTCTCCCTCTGCCAATTCCTCCAAGTCAGTAAGTAAGCCTTCCCAGAAGACAGAGATCCTATCCCCTGCACCTGGTTAAGCCAATGGAAGTCTCTGACCTCATATTAAAAGCGACTCCTGTTAGAAAAGGATGGGCGAGGAGGACTTTAATTAATAGTGATGTGACTTGACACAAAGTCCGCTCTTGATGATGCTGGGAACAAAGAATCAAATGGTCAGTCTGCAAAGTATAGAAAAACAGGAGCCTGAATGAACGTGCATCTTGGATAATTCCAGAGATTCATTCTCTAATGCCTGCTCCTTAGGCTACGGGTCCCATTAGACTGTGAGTCTCCTCCAAAGCAGGGGCCATGTGTATTCCTGGCTCTGGCAAAAGGGCTGGCACTGGGTCTGTGCTCTACCTGTCTTCTGAAAGAACTAGTGGAATCGATTTTTAATACATTTGTGTTTCACCCAGTTGATCTATAACTGGTGATAATAATATCTATTTTTTAGAACTATTATATGATGACATGAGATAAGGAATATGGAAGTCTTAGGCCAGAGTAAGAACCAAATAAGTAGTGGCTGTTGTTATTATTTCCTGAGAGTCTGCTGTGTGCTCAGTCCCATGGTCAGCCAGGCTGAGGGACATGCTGAAGATAACAGGACATGAAGCCCTTGGCACAGTGACAGTGTTCAGTGAGCACCTGTGACCACGTGTCATCACCATTGTCATTCCTATCATTGGTATCATTACTGAGAAAGTTTTATCTGGAACCAAGGTAGCTAGTAGTCAGAAAAGGATGCCACAACAGAGAAAGCCAAATACAACATGACGAGGCCTTTGCTCCCTTTTTGATATGTTTGACTGAAGAACAATCAAACAAAAATGCCGATTTCTCAGGGTAAAAGCTAAGATGGGATTCCAAGGTAGTGAGTGGGCAGACCTCAGTTTACTTCCATCTCCATCACGGAACAGAAAAGAGACAAAGTCAAAATGCCAAAGAGGGAATTAAAGGCCATGGTAAATGAAGCAATGGGAGACAGTGGGAGGCTCCAAGAGCCTGTGAAGTGTGAAGCGACAGGATTCCGCAGGACAGGGAGAAGCATGCCACAGAACTGGAGGACACGCCGGGTCAGGGTCAAGTCGTATCTGAGGGGCCCTGAGGAGAAACCGTCATCATGAGCAGAAGCCTAGGTACAAGCAAATGATCTGAATTTCTAAGAGGAAGATTCCAGAAATATGGCTTGGTGACTGCAAAATCCTAGGATTGATTCCTGATCCCTGATCTGTGACCTTCAGAAAGGGCAATGAGCATCTCATAGCTTCCCAGCAGTGCTACAGGTAGAGCCTCCAGCTAAAGCATATCTTTCTCCACATGGGATTGGTCACAGGACCCTACGGAGTCAAGAGCTGGGATTGTGAAGATCAGCTCTCAGTGAAAACGCTGTTCACATTCATTGGGAATGAGGAAAAAGTGAGGGAGAACATCTGGAAGGTCAGACAGCAAATGCCAGGAGTTCAGCCCAGGTGATGTCTATAAAGTGCCTATAACAGTACAAATAGCTAATATTCATGAACAGTATAATGTACCAGGCACAATTCTAAATGAACTTGAGTGTGTGACAGAGACCAACCTAACTCTGCACCTGATTAGTACATGACCTTAGGAAGATCACCGTTCATCTGTGGTTCCCTCAATTATATCTACCTCCCTGGAGCTTCTTAAATGAGAATACTCCCAAAAGTCCCTGCTATTGAACTTGTCCCATGATTGCCTCAAAGGGGAGTGTCCTTGCTATTGAAAGGGGGATTTGAGAAGTATATGTCAGAATAGAGAGGCTGCTTTGCCCAGTAGGAGAGGTGGGGGGGCGGGGAAGACACATGTAGGAATGAATAAGGAAAAGGAAAACCCTCCATCACTTCCCCAGGGACCCTTCCTAATTCACTGAAAATTCCATCATGGACACTGCAACCTTGTTTCTTCAGGGCTCTAGCTGTGTCTCCCCCACCCAAGAATAGCTAGTTTGCAAGAAGGACCTGAAGCCTTAAGTGTCTCTGATTTAATCCAATGCCTGCTGCGACAACAGCTCCATTTGGACAGCTCATTTCTGCCCCCACATCCCATTAGAGGCAAGCCCTTGCTCACCTCCATTTGGCTAACGAGACTGGCTTTGTGCAGGAAATGGAGGCTATTTACAGTAAATTATTCAATTAGAACCAGGAGTAAGCGGGGTCTGCCATTGTCTAATGGGCCATTTGGGGTACAACTCAAGGCACATCTGTCAACACCAGAGAGACAGGAAATACTGTGGAAAGGAATCAGCTCCAACAGCATCACTAGGCTAGGTACAGGAGGAGGCAACAGGGGTAGAGAGGAGTGGGACCACACAGACGTGGCTCTAAATCCTTCCTCCAAGACTGTGCATAAGCAACCAGATACTTTATGGACTCTCATTCCCACGGGAAGCACATCACCCAAGGAAGCTGCCACCCAGCCCCACTGAATGGAAAAAAACCTTATGAAATTTAGAGAGTTCTGGTTCCCTGGAGGAAGCTTCAATGGCCCCTCACAGCTGTCAGGCAATAGAGCCCAGCTAGCAGGCAGAAAAGACCTCACAGGGACTCACAAAGCTGGGTCTTATCTCCTCCAGACCATGAAGACCTTGCTGGACAGTACAGACCAATTCCAGCAAAGCACAGACAGGGTGCCAAGCCTCCACCCGATGATCTAGACACCTCTACTTTCTAGGACTCACCTTGAAGACAACAGGCATCTCATCTACACAAATACATTTGAGAATTTGATAGGGGTGAGACTACAGCCCCCAGGGAAAATCCAGACAGCCCTCCTGGGGGATCTCATATTGTACTCTTGGAGCATTATAACCCCCTACCTCATGGGGTTATTTTAAGGATTAGATGTAAAATATTTAAAATTGTTGTTGTTACTATTATTACAGAGGGAAATTTCCAAGGCCCCTGCAAGTTATAATGCTTGACCTTTGGCTTGTTCAGATGAGGAAACGGCAGCATAGAGGTTAACACGGACATATGGAGTCACATTGAAAGAGAAGAAGAGACTGCCCAAGATCACACAAGCAAGTCAAGCCACACCTGGGACGAGCACACAGGTTTTCCTATCTATAAATGTCCCCCTCATCCCCTGGAAAATCTTAAATAGGGTTTGCCTGGGAGAAACCTGGAGAGACCGACCAGGGCCTTGGAGTGGTTTACCATGAAAGATTAGTGGAGCAGCAGTTCCCAACTGTAAATCAGAATTATTGTGCTTGCTTCATATCTTTGGTGCTGGTTATCAAGTCTAGGGAAGTAGAGTGTGGACAAGCAAATTCAAAGGTCTTGGTTAGATACAGCTCAGCCCTGGGATGGGACAGACAGGTTGACTCAAAGGTGCTATGAGTCCCCAGAGACTGGAAAGAAGGAGGCCCCCATCCATGTTCCAGTACCATTCGTCTTCTAAATGATTCCTAGTTGTCCAAGAAAACCACCCGACAGCCTCTTCTGAAGGTCAAGTGTGGCAGTCCTAGGAGAAGGCTCAGGCTCCTGGAATCAGGAAAACCATAGCTGCCCCAATGGTGTGTCTCAGGATGCCCCTCTGGGGCATCTGACTGCCCAGCTTCCAATCAAGGGAGCTCCAATCCCTGAGTTGCACAGGAAGCTGCATT